AAAAGCAAGATATGAGTGATGGGATCATTCAATATACTTGGGAATTAAGAGGCAAAAGTCAAATTTCAATGAAGTTTTTCCTCTGATTTTGTGGGCCTTGGGAAACGAAGTACTATAGAAATCCCCCATTTTCCGTGCTTTGGAGAATGCCAATAAGTGACAACAATGTGAGAAAACTAAAATTCATAGTTTGAATTTCACATACTTCGTTTTCATAGTTTGAATTTCACATACGGTACTTCATTAGAGTTAGTCAAATAATTATGACATTAATATCTCGTGCTTAACTTTAACTTCTATAATGAGTGAGTGTCTAGTTATTGGCAAGCAAGTGTAGTTGCATGAATTTAATGGGGAAGTTCACCGAGTCAAATGCCAAACTCGGGAATCGCCCCCCACGGCCTCGGTTGCAGCCCTTTTTGTCTTGGTTTAGGGTCTGAATTTCTTTATTAAGGTAAAAAATGGGTCAAAGTCTTTTAATTCAAGTTTTTTTTTTTTAACAATTTGTAATTATTTATAGAATTAATTGGGAAAGGGGGAAAAGGATTCCATAAGTTTCGAACGTGCAATCCACTGGAGGTGAACAACCTTAACCTAAGATTCAATGCCACTAGGCCGAAGTGGACCATTCGTCTTCTAATCCAAGTTTTATACCTCTTCCTACGTGAAATATTAACCTCACCTTAATCACAATCTTGTACTCCCTTCAGCGTGTGTTTCATCCTTGCTTGACATTTTTCACCTAAATTACTTCTATTTTTATATGGTGGTATTTAAATATGAATTTAAGAGTTTATCTATTATATGTCCTAAAAGCATGAGATAAAGAGTAATTATTAAATAATGATTGTTTGTATTTTTCTTTTTCTTTTTTGTTTTTTGAAAAAGTGAAATTTTTTAATTTTTAATTTTTATAATTCAAAATGAACCAATAAAAAATTAACACATGTCAGTTACAATTACATAAAAGTCAAATTCATCATTTTCAAAACAAAAAATGGTAATTATTTTTTAATAATTACTTCTTATCATATGCCTTAATTTAAATAAACTATTAATCTAAATATTACGTTCATTAAAAATTAATTGTCTTATTTTGCCTTTTAAAGGTAATTTTTTTTATGACCAATAATGCAATTCATTAATAAAAAAGATAGAGTATTTAGGAGGCCGCCATACTCAGCCACATTGGCAAAATAGGAGGTTAAACTACAACATAAGCAATAGAAGATAAATCCATGATAGATCTAAATAATTTAGTGCAGAGAGTTTGCTTATTTTACTTATGATCTAGGAGATTACAGTAAGGGTAATGATAGGGCTACATAAGTAGAAAAATTGCCATTGCCAGCATGCTAAACTACTAAGTAATCCTACTTCTATCCACATAGTAAATGGCATACCAAAGAGGAGATGCACAATTGATAATGTTGCGAATCTAGCACCAGCTTTAGCCTACAAATAAAATGAATTAGGATAATGTTTAATTTTGAGTGGCAAATATTTTTTATTGTTGTAGTCATGTAATTTTTTCAGTTTTCTATATATGAAAGATTAATTAGAGACGGAGTCCTTGCAGCACTTCTAGCGCAACTATCCCAAAAAAGGAAAAAAAAAATTGGAGAAAATTGTGGTTTTTTACCAACAAAATTATTTTTTATTTGATGAGATAGTTTTTTTTTCATCTTCTATTTTATAAGAAAAAAAGAAAGCATAGTGAAAAAGAAACTTGAAAAAAAAAAATTGTTAATATATATTAATTTAACAAAAAAATATTTTACGGTTTATATTATTTTAAATTAAATTCAAACAGTAAAACATTAACTCTTTAATAAGAAAGAGACCCTAATATTGAAATGAGAGTCTTTGTTTTATAATTCAAAATAATTTAAGTTATAAAACAATGCACCTTTAATTTAATATGAATCTTCAAACTTCAAAGAGTAGTTTAAGAGGAGACAAGGAAAGAATCATCAGAAAGCATTGAGAATGGGAAATTAGTGGAAAAACAGAAATATGATATGGAGTTGTGATATTTAAAATTAAAAAAAAAGAAAAGAAAAAGAAAAAAGAATAGTATCATTCTTGGCTCTATAGAGTTTTAATATAAAAACACCATTTTTAACGAATATCTTGAAAAATTACCCTTTAAATTTAATATTTTATACGTATAAGAGGCTTTACAACAATTTTGTTCCTAAGTAGAACCAAGGGAGGTGGAAATTGTTTGCAGGACAGTTTGTTTTGCATGCATATGGACGATTTGACTTGCTTGAAATGAGAAAAACTTTAATAGCAGCCAGGTGAATGTTGAAAGACTATTTGAATTAGCAAAATTTGGAAATAAGCTGGCAGGAGACACTACCACATATTGAACATACAGGATACAGCTACGGATTCGTGGCTATGGACAATAAATTCGTAGCCATTTACACATGTCAATTGCTATGATATATATACCCGTAGCAATCTATAATATTGTTAGCTACAAATGTTAATCTCTCCCAAAGATAATACGTATTTTTTGCTTCATCTTTCAACATTTGGAAGCTAATGTATATATTTTGTTCTATCTTTCAACCTCTCAAAGGTAAATACCACCCCCCAAGCTAATATATATTTTTTTTACCTCAACTTTTTAATCACTTTAGCAATAATTGGTCTTTTAACCATAAAAAAAATTAGTCGTGGTATGCAGCTGTAGCTAATTGTGCAATATAACAATAAATGATTAATATCCTTTTCATAAAGCAAGGGTTTGAACCCTGATCAAGCATTCCTTGTTATTTCTTTTCTTTTATTTTTTCACACCTTAATTTCCCTATTATTTCTTCAATTTTTCCCTCCTGTTAGGCCGTTTCACACCTCCACCATTTTGAACATAAAACCTAGATCTATAATCTATTCGTTGATGATGAGAACCAATGCAAGCCATTCCTTCATCTTTTTTTTTTTTTTTAATTTAGCAGTTAAGATATTTTCAAGTCAATTTGCATGTATTTTAAGACTATTTTTTCTTTAATTTAGTTAATGATACATTATCTATATCAAAACTAAAGAATTTATAAAAAATTATCTCCTCATTAACCTTCCCAAAAAATCAAAACTTGATTAACAAAATTGAAAGCAAACTCCCTTTCCAACTAAACCCTTTTTGGGTTTCTTTCCTTCATTTTTATTTCCTCTTCCAATTCCTTTGAACCGGTGCTAAAGAAAAATTCCCTTTGAAGGTTGGATGGTTAATTTCATCTACTGGCGGCCGACTCACAACCAACCAAGAAGGTTAAGTTTATATATCTGCCTATCTTGGTGCCAATCTCACCAATCCACGATGGCAAAACACTATAAATTAAAGGTCCAAGAGTTGTGAACTTGCTAAAGAATATTCCCAACACCCCAAATCTCACATAGGTAGATAATTGTGAATGAATTTGATATACAAATGTAGAGACTAATCACTATTAACAATTTGAGATTAAGTGTTTGTTGCTTGGCTTGATTTTCGTGTATTTGTGCTAAATGACCTTGGCAGCAAATTGAAGACCTGCAACATGCAGCATGCTGCAACAACATCCATGAAATCTATCTTCCAGTATTTGTAGTGTTAAATGTCATTCATGAAATCTATCTTCCTGTATTTGTAGTGCTAAATGTCGTTGACAACAAATTGGAGACCTACAACATGCAGCATGCTGCAACAACATCCATGAAATCATCTCGTGTATTTTTAGTGCTAAATGTCCTTGGCAACAAATTGGAGATCTGCAACATGCAGCATGCTGCAACAACATCTATGTTGCAACAACCATCCAGATTGCAACATGGAAGCTACCGAATTTAATATTTGATCCATAACGAATTTGATCCTCAACAATAACAAAGTGAATCTTGATTTTCCTTTTTCTTTATTCAGTTTGGATGGTTAGAGAGTGTGAGTCTGTTTTAGTGTATTTTGAAACTAATTTTATCTTAGAGAATCTTGATTTTTGCAGATTAGTTAAAGGCGTGTTGTTTATTTCGAATTTGTTAAAACATTTTCACTTGCAACCTTTGAATTTTGGAGTAATGGGTGGCTACCACACATTCATCCACGTTGGCATCTAATCTTGGTTGTTGATTAACTCATTTAATTGATCAATTTAAAGTTCAAGGTCAAGGTTCAAGGCAACTGTATTTTAAATCCTGCTTTTCATGGAAGCCACTCATCAATAGTCATGACTCATCATCGCCAAGAGTAGGCAAAGCTGAGATCTAATATCGCTTACATTCTGATCCAAGTCTTAAGACCCTAATTTCGGTTAAATTGGGTTTCCAGTTCACCAATCAAAACCGCAGGCAGATCCAAACTGAAAGCAGCTTTAACCATCTTGCATTTTTTCGTTTTTTTTGGTCGGAATTTTGGAGTTATCAGGTTGACCAAAAATGTGCTAACCCCATACCATTACCATAAAAGGTATAATAATAAGTTTCAAAATATCTATAGCTTTACCACCGAAGCTGGCTGTTATTAAATTACTCGTAATACAATTGAACATGGACCAATCAACACTATCATAGACATTAACCCAACCCTCCATCCTCACTACATTGAAACTAGCAGACAAAATTGATCACTGAAAGAAACCAATTCCTACCTTAACTTTGTTAGCAGAGAATACTGCCTGCTCAGAACAACGATGAGTTTCTGAGTTCTCTCGTTTGCCATTCACTGGGTTGCTGTCGAGTTTTCGCCCACAGTCCAATACTGCTTAACAGCCACCAATATCTTCTCGGGAACTAAGGGTCCATTTTCGTGGTCAACCATTTTAGTATCCCACCTCATTCCTTCTGTTATCTTCTTCACCTTAATTAGTACATCGACTTCATCCCTGAATATAACTGCACCTTCTGGACGCAAAATCCTGTCCATCTCCAGAAGAATGTCCTCCAGGTTACACCTGCATACATTCAAATATATCATACAAAGTTAGAAGAACATTAAATGCCTATGCACCCATTAATGCAGAAGTGCTTCCAAATTACTTTAGCTTGATGCATCAATAGGAAACTGTTCCAGGAATCATACCAAACAAGTAATGCTGAGGGCTACATCCTCAGTCTAATCTCTAAACTCCAAATTACTAAATGAAGGCTACTCAATTTTCCATAAAGGTCAGGTCAGGAAGTCACAGTTAGCTGTATTAAAGACAGTGTGCCCTTGTGTTAACATAATACCATTTTTCTTCCCTTCTGCTAAGGATATAATATTTGTTACCTAAGCAAGAAAGCTAGGGAAACAAGCATCAACTTGGTGCACCGGATTGCTATTTCTATTTTTATTTTATTTTATTTATTTATTTTTTGAGAAAACGCAAATGCACGATTTTATGATTTAAAAACATGAAATAACTTTTGAAATTTCATTTTCTCCCACAACAAACGGAACCTCTTTGATTCTGTTTACGCATTTGCATTAACATTTGGTCCATTTTGCTGAAATGCAAATAGAACCAGTGAAAGAAACATAATATGAGTGAGAATAAGCCACACTGTCTTCCTGTTACGAAGCCTGAGGAGAAACCACACTTTTTAACTACAACAATCAAACATCAAGTTGAGCCTAATTTGGAAAAATGAAATACAACAGATAACTAGAACACTTACTTGCCATCCTTGTCATACAAACTGAAAAGACCATGAGCATGAATGAGGTCATAAGTCCTTGGGTATGTGGAGAAAGCTTCACACCTAAATAATGAGAAAGAGAAGGAAAATACAATTCAATATTTATACTTCACTAAAGGTTGAACAACTTGGAGCCATAGGAAATAATATAAAATAACAGTAACCAGGAAATGTAAGCTCACAGTGTGTTGATAAGATTTTTTCAGTTAAGATTTGTACATAGTAAGTTTCTACTCACTGAAGATGGCATCATATTACTGAGCCCTGATAACCCTTTATGCTCTGAAATTTTTTAATGTGTTTGATGAATCAAGCACACAATTATAGATATCTTATTTAGTTGGGTGCTTTGATCCTAAAAGATAATTTATGGAAAATTCCAAAGGCATCTAAATGAAAGTATGAGAAAATTTTAGCAAATCTACAATGAGAAACAGTACATTAGAAATCAAGTGTATTTTCTTCCAACTCACAGAATGGCAATGAAAAGATATGAGACAAAAATTATACCAGTCATGATAGATGCCAATTAATCCTCGCTCATATATGATACCAAGTGTATTTTTCTCTGCTATAGTGGGCACAACATTCATAGTCCACAATTTGGGTGATTCAATAGCTGCAGCAAATCCTCCCAACCCAGCATTCATATCCATAATGTTCCGGTACCTTCCTGTGTCAATGATTTTATTAATTCTCTTATAAGCATTCACACGCTTCTTCCATTTATTGTTGTCCTCTTGGTATGTCTCAACAGAAACTCCAGGAACACTTCCACTAGCAATTCCAGGAGGGATGGCATACAGCCTCCCAGGGAATGGTTTCAGTTCTCCACCAGCAACTTCGTCTGAGCTACCAGCATCGGGATATGGAGCTATGCAAGCATCCATTTTCTTGTACCTGGCAATCACCAAGAAAGAATATGATTAACTTAATATGTAATTTTGGTTTAGAAGAAATAAAATAGATGTGATCCAAACTAACAATAAACCAAGATAAAGTGTTCAAAAAAGTGTTTTCCTTGGATATGCTCAATGAAGAATTAAAAAAATTCTGAAATACAATCACAGAAATCACCAAATGATAATCTCAAAACTGATAGTTCCATCTAAGAATGCATCACACGTTATCTAGGACACAGCAGGAGAAGAATGGATAAAATTACATTTACATTGCTCATGTAACTGTCAACCTTGAATGTCAAAGTTTCTCAAATGGTGAGGGATATGTTGCTAGTGAACACAAAATAAGGACAAGTTAGTACTAGTATAATCAATGAGATTTGTGTATGATCGGAATGCCAAAGGACCTATGGAATCTATGTGCTGGTGGCTAACTAACTCAAACAAAGTTTAATACACTGCTAGAGCAATGGCAACTTTAGTTATTGTTATTTTTTAAAATCAGAAACTCACATATTCACACTTAATCTAAGTGAATTGATTATCATGAAACCTTAACACACACAAGCAAAATATTCAAATACAGTACTTACCACACATCATCAAGTTCACTACCCTTGCAAAAGTTGGCTTGAGAATTATCACGTCTATCATGACATGATTCATCATTTACCCTCTTTTGCCAAATAGCAATTTCACCCTTCTCATACTTTTTTTCCCAGCAAAGAAGTTTAGCAATCTCCTCAATCTTATCTTGCTCCTCTTGGAGTTCCTCCTTGGGACGTTGCCATGCTTTGTAATTGTTCTTCCAATTGATTGGTGGACCAGAAAGCACCCAGTAGCCACCAGGTCTAAGAACACGGTCAACTTCCTTTAAGTACATACCATCTGCAGATGGAAAATTCCACAATGCATCAACCATTCAATTTGTGTCAGAACTTCAAGAAAAGAATAAAAAAATGGTGGAGTTTTAAATGTAATGCAAAAATTTTACATGCTTATACTTGAGAACATTAACTTAAACAAAATGGCTCACCATTTGCCCCCCAAGGAATTAAGCAACGTGAACAATGAGCCATGTCAAAGGCTCTAGATGGATATGGCATCTTTATTGTACCCAGAACACCAATAACAGCAGGTACACCTCTTTCAAGAGCAAATTGGACCTGTGCTTCATGTGAATCTCTCGGTGCAAATGACATGGCAACAACATTTCTGCTCCATAGGTAAGCACCCAAGCTTGCAACCTGTGCAAAATGACCAACCATAAGCAAAGCATCTATCTAATAACAAGAGCAAAAGAAAATCTTATTCTTCTAACATAATAAAACAAACATCTATTGTTTTTTTCCCAAAAATAAATAAATAAATAAACAAACTGATCAACTAAAAATTTGGCAGGCACAAGGCATACCCCACAACCAGTGTCGAGGGCAGTCCTAACAGTCCCATTTGTAATTGGTATCACGGAAGCGAGCTGATCAATATACTTATCTGCCCCTTGAGGAAACTGTGTTCCTCCACCTGGGAACCTAAACACATTGCCCTCATACTGGATCCAATTCTGAATTGCCTTTTCAACTGTCAAGGCCTTGTATGGTGCATTAGCATAAGGAACATAATCACGACTCTTGGGCCAGGGGAATGGAGTTACATATCCTTTGGGTGCTGGGATAAGACAGTGTAGTTTCTCTTTGTCAGGAGGACAATGTCTTTCTCTATAAATCATGCTTTCCCTAGGGAAAGTCATAGCCCTCTTTTGATCTTGGCAGGGTGTGTAATCAACATAACGAGGATTACAAGGCTTAAAAACTTTGGGCTTTTCAGAGGCATCCAGATTGTCAACTTGCCCACCATGATGGGTCTCAAAATTCAAACTTGGGATTATATTGCAATCGGCCCCATGTTTTGTCATCTCTAAAGCTATGCTGTCTCCCTTCCCAAATCCACTTCTCTGCCATACACCCAATATGTAGAAAAAACAGCACAACCCGAGTACGATAAGTATTTGTACAGAGCTCCTAGTCCTCCCATCAGCTGAATTTGGTTTAGGTGCCATAATGAACCTGAACCAATTTCCCCATCAGATCAAGACAACACAAGCATGGAAAAAAAAGGGCAAATAAAATGAAAACGGATTCTAGAAAGCATAAAGGGTATTCATGTAAACAACACATAACAGAGGATCTACCCAAAAAAAAATACAAAAAACCATAATTAAGAGCGAATTCATGATGTGGTGTGATTAATTACAGAGATCATTAGTTTTTTGAACTAGTTCAAAGATCAATCTATAAATGCAAATACATGAAAGGAGTTTTAACCGACCTCAAGATTGATCTATGAATAAAAGTACATAAACGACATTCATATCAACAACACGCAACTGAGGATCTACAGAAAAAGAAATCAAGCCTGACATAAACACATAACTAAGAGCTAATTCCTGAGTACTGCGATTAAAAACAGAGATCATTAGATTTATAAACTAGCTCAATGATTAATTATGAATATAAATACATATAGGGATTCACAAGTGTATGAACCTCAATAAGGGGATCAAACAACAGAATCAGATACTTAGCAGGGTAATTTAACTTCTTCCTTCTCCTCTGTTTCTCATTACGCAAAAGCTCGGAAATTTGTACAAATTAAAAAGCTTTCAGCTTTGAAGACTCCAAAGAACCCATTAAAAACCCAAATTATCCAGTTGAATTCATCATGGTTTAAAAAATTCAAGACCCAAAATAGCAACATTCAAAGTCAAGAAAGAAGAAGTCATAAAAGACAAAGAAGGAAAAGATCAGAGCAGACCCCAGGGAGGAAAAAGTGCAAGAAAGAAGGAAGTAATATCAGATCAGTTACCAATCGCATGAAGAGAAGCAACCTCTGGTTCGAGATCCTGCGGCCTATGAGAGGAAAAAGAACAATGGAAAACTCGCACTTTTCTGTCTGTGGGACACAGAATGATGATAAAAATAATGGAGAGGAGATCTGAAAGCCCCTCTTCGGAACGAAACGTGTTGATAGATCTCTGAAAACCCTAACCTGCGATGTAATTACCCCTTTCTCTCTCTTATGAGTGGAAGAAGAACGATGGAGATCGAGAATCAGAAGGACAAGTCTTCCTCCCTGACTCTACTCTTATCCACCGCACGAGCACTCAGTGAGTTTGATATTTGCTTGTATTTATTTATAAAGTTAAAGTAGCACTCAAATTTATGATTTTTTTTTTCATTGAAAACAACAATGAAATAAGAAAAAAA